TAATGATCAAACATTGCCCGACAAGAGAGGACCTCTCCCTCAGCTGCAAGGTACAACGCTGCACTCTCTACTCACATGGATCCCAGGAATTAAAACCTTTTGCAAACATTTTGAAACCATAATATAAATATATATATCTCTATATAAATATATTTTACAATAACAAATTTCAACGTTTGAAATCAACTGCCGACAGTTTAGGATTCCATCAGAGATAGTGCATTCCCCGATCATTCACTTTGTCCGATAAAGGGGCTGATCCTATCACTATGATCACCCACTCAAGTGAATTCTCAGATTGTCCCAACATACCCAGTTTTGACCCCCTCTAAGGATCTCACTGATTGGCATATCAAAGACAGCCCAATCTGACACCTAGTGCAGTACCATAATCGAGTCTAGGGGTCAAGTGTAACATTTCAGTTTTTCCCTTCTATCTCCAAGGTCCAGGGCAATATTGGAATTTGGTTCGATTCAGGGTTTCAAGAAAACTTACACTACATGTACCTTAGGTTTCACCCTAGCAGTTGAGACAAGCCACCCCAACCAACTTGGCGGCACATTAGTGTCAGCCTTGGCAGGATAAATCTCCCTATTCCAACAGTTGTGAAGATTCTAAACTAACACGAGTCTCATAAGTGTCCAATTTAAGGGTATTACACAGAAACACACAACAATTACATGAATCAATTATGTACTTTATTCATTTACAATAAATGTCAAAAGATAGATCAATCTGATTGGAGCTAAGGGAATAACTGTCTAATAGTAGCCAACTTATAGAAGCAAATCAATTCTCTTCAACCTCTTTGGGATCACGTCGCACATCTGCTAGCCTTATCCTCATCCCGCCCAGATCGGACGGACTCGATAAGCCTTATTAGCTAGCATGAAGTTCACCTCCTGGCGCAGAATGGATTCCTAGTAGYGTGGGCCAAAGATATCAGAGGTGTTTCGTGAGACCTACATTAGCTCATCTATATATGGATACCAACCCCAACGTTTAAAGGTACATGCAATTTATTGCTCACTAGCCTACTAGCATATAAGCTTTTAGATCGCACACCAGAGAACTAACTTAAGCATCGGAGCACCCACACTGGATAAGCCACTCTAGGTCCTCTGAGCCTTCCTCTTTTGCAGTTCGACCAGCCAAYAGAGCAGACTGACATCCGAATTGCCCTCTAGCTAAGGGCATCCAGATCGCGCACCATGAGGAGCCATCCATATAAATTTCTCTCTTTTTCTTTTTTTATCCTTTCTTTTAGACTTGGGTTAGTGGTACCACTATAAGTGGATTTTATATTTGAAAAAATTCATAACCACCATGGTTTTGTAGTGCAAATAGTAGACTTGAAGCCTTGCATCATATATTTTTACTCACCATTCTCTGGTAGGTATATGAGGTTATAAATAGGCATTATAACATGGTTATTGGAGGATGTGTAAACATATTTCATAGTTAATTATATGAATAAAAAACATTTTTGTTAATTTTATTAATGTTTTTTAAATAGGAAATCTCACGTCTTTTATGGCATGGTTTGGTGTTGGTTTTTTGGCTTCCATATAAACACATATGTTTACCTTATAATTCTAGAGATTTTTTCTTGAATTCTATTAATAAGTGGATTATCAAGTTTGATCCCACCCTAGTTACCGCCTTAAATAAGGAAAAAAATAGTTTTGAGCAATCAATCTCCTTCCCTTTTTAGATCTAGATTATCACATAATATTGTAGGTTTGTTGCTGATTTGCATATTGGAGAAAGCGATCAATGTATCATATAAATTAGCATGTTTCATATGTTAGTGTTTTCACTATAACAAAGAATTCAGCAATGTCACAACTTTCATGAAGAACTTAGTTCATGTGATTTTCCAAGATACAAACTACTTGGGTTCTTTTTTAGTTGTTACTTTTTTCCCCTTTTTATTACCTTTATTCTCATTTATTGTATTTTACATGATATCTTTGTGGGCTTCCCATGGTGAATTTCGGTATGGAATCATACATGCAACTTGCTAAGCAGAGGGGAAGACAATCGATGAGAACAATATGGTAGGATTGATGCAAGTTCAAGTGGTTTTTGTACTTACAAAGAAGGCTGCTAAGTTGATGTAGATGAAGTTACAGTATTTAAGAGTTTCATAGGAGTTTTGGCTTTGTAGTTAGAACAGTAATGTTGGATTTAAGAGTAGTTAAGAGTCCAACTTATAACAAGTGTATGGATTTTGTTCTCAACCTGAAGGTGAGGTCCAAGTTATATCTTTTTCTACTTCTAATTTGTATATTTTAGGTGTTTCTAAAATTGCATAATGGGAGTTTGATTTATAAGCTAGGTAATTGTTGGCATTTATATTTCAGTTATTGAATTTAGAATTCAATAATTAGAATTTGATATATCAATGATACTTATTTCCTTTTCAGTTGCCAAACCTCCCTTGGTTATTTGAGAGTTTCTTAAACCTCCCCGGTGGGATGGCATATACTTTCAATAGCTCAATGAAAAAGCATTAGTAAATGCAGAAATTTAATTCTATTTACAAATTGTTTTTATTTAAAAATCAGGTTATTTTTTAGAGAACAAGTATTATCTTGAAATGGTTTTCACATTAAGGCTCGTTCTTGGTTTGGCAAGGTTTCACTTTTTTCCTCTTCAAAATAATTGATGGATATTTGTATTATGTTTTGGTTATTTTTCTTTATAGGGACTAGTGCATAAAATACTGTTAATAAAATGGGTTGAGACCTTAGTAAATATCAAACTTAATAAACGCTAATAAAAATAAAAAATTTAAGTATAAAAATATTAATTGATAGTTTTAATAATATTATTAGATAACTTATGAGTTGAGACCTTTATTGTGCAAAATGAACTCAAGATTAAAAATGATAAAAATTAATGAAAATTTAAAATGCAGAAGCCATTTTATTAATAGTATTTTATTGCAAAAATTACTGAGTAATAATAAAAAAGATAAAAAAATTAATTAAAAATAAGAATTTTAAATATAAAATATTAATTGATAGTTTTAATAATATTATTAGATAACCTTGTATTAATGAATTTCTAATTAATTAATAATTTTTATGAGTTGAGACCTTTATTATGCATAATGAACTCATTAAAAATGATAAAAATTAATGAAAATTTAAAATSCAGAACCTGTTTTATTAAAAATATTTTATTTCAAAAGGTACTCATATGCAAAAATTATTTAATAATAGTGAAAAATACCAACAATTAATTAAAAATCTGAAAAATTCTGAAAACCCTAAACATAATTAAAATACTAAAAATAATAAAAAATTATTGAAAATTAAGAATATTTCATATTAAAAAGGGTATTTTATATTAACAAATTTTGATTATTAATTTAATATTAATTAATAGTAAATAAAATTATTAAATCTTTCAGATTTTCCCGTGCATCACATGGGTCCTTGTTAGTAGTTGTGCTTAAGATTCATCAACAAACCCAATTCTGGCCCAATCCTTAGCCCAAACCCAATATCGACCTTGGACTTGGTCCAAATGGGTCGGCCTGAGTTGGTATTAAACCAAACCCAACCCATTAGACTTGCAGCTAGACATGTTAATGGGCTAGGCCAGGCTAGGCTCGAGCCGGGCTTTCACTCTGTATTAATAGAATTTTCTAAGGCCCGAGCCTGAGCCCGGCTCGACCATCGGGCCAACAACTTGGGCCCAAGCCCGAAATTTAGCCCATATTGTTAGCAGCTAAATAGAGAGAGAGAGAGAGAGAGATTATAAAGAAAAGAATAAAATATATATATATATATTAAATTATAAATATATATTTTAATAAATATTATATTATTTATATATTTCATATAATATATAAAATACATATTATATATTTTATAAAATATATAATGTTGAGTCAGGCTGGGCTTTTTTGACAAATCCCGAGCCCGACCCGAAATACAGTCGGGCTTATTGTGTTAGGCCCGAGGTCAGGCCCGCGGGCCTAATTACATGACCAAGCCCGATCGGGGTGCGGGCCGGGCCATCGGGCTACCCGGCCCATGAACAAGTCTACTTGCAGCCCTACCGAGCTCAAACAAACCGGTTGGGCTAGGTGAATGGTAACTGCCTAGAAACTTAAAGCAGATTATGGGCTCATGAGTTGTGGCTTGCAATTAGAAGCAAGAAACTGGTTTGAGTACGAAACAAGAGAGATTTGGATTGGCTCCGTCTGGTACATAACATTAGTTAAAATATTCACATCAAGGCGATCATGGATAATTTAGATATTGCAATGCTACATGGCTATAGAGAAGTAATATGACTCATTTCAGGGATCATTCTCTGACTAGCATAATGTTAAAACTCTCATTCTTGTAATTGGTTGGTTTCTCTTTGGTAATGGTTAATAAAATTTTAACATGAGTGAAGTTTGGGATTATATATTTAAAAAATATATTTGATCTGAGTTTCTCTGAATATGTTGTTGAAATTCATCTTGACTTAGCTTTAAGAATGCACATATAGAAATGCATTAATTACAAAATATTTATTATTTAATATTGATATATCTTAAAAGTTACTTGCGCCTTCAGAGTGCAAAATGCTTTTAGGCTGAGTTTTATCAGAGTTGCATAGACTTTTTAGCACAACTCATTACAAAATAACCAAATATGTTATAGTTCATATCCTTGCAAACTGTTTTCCACATTAGAAGTTAATATACACAAAATTAAGATGCCATGCAACTATGTTCTTGTAATAGTATTCTAACTAAAACTTTGCACCTATGCTCTTACTTTCTAACTTATGAATTTAGATGTTTCTAATGACACATAAATCTATATAGAATAGAGTAAATCTCTTAAGAAATAGAAAATTCAAGCAGTATCCAGTGACAAGTAGTCATTATATTAAAAGTTACTATTCTTCTTTTCTATCAACGTAAGAATTTCACATCTAAATTATTACAAATCATATATATAATTAACAAGAAAAAACCACACAATAATCCAAAGACTTCTTTATATATAGTCATCGCCCACAATCTAATGATATTACAACTTGATTTCCCAAACTATCATATTCAGTAGTATTGAAGTTTTGAGAATTTGGTGGATCCCCAAGCAAGCATTCTACTTCTTCATGAGGTTCATCACAAAGATGTTTGTTAGACCTACGCAACCCCTCCAGTTCCATCGCTACTTCCTTCATTGTGGGTCTTTCTTCTCCCTTCACTCTTAGACACCTCTCTACAAGTTTAGCGACTTCATGAAGTTGATCCTCATTAGCTTCATARAGCACTCTATCCTCCAAAATATCCAAAATATTTTCTTCTTTCATGGAACTAATAAAGTGGAGAGCYAAGCTTTTCTCTTTTTCAGGTCTATCAAATTCAAGTGCTTTTCTACCAGTTAATAGTTCTGCAAGAACTATGCCAAAACTATAAACATCACTCTTTTCTGTCAATCGACTTGTGTGAAAATATTCTGGGTCCAAGTACCCCATTGTGCCCTGTACTAATGTAGTAAAYTGAGTTTGGTCTAATGGAACTAATCTTGAAGCTCCAAAATCTGACACCTTTGCTGTATAATTATCATCCAAAAGAATATTGGCAGATTTAATATCTCTGTGAAAGATTGGGGGAGAGGCTGCAGAATGCATATATGCAAGTGCTGATGCAGTTTCTGCAGCTATCCTTAGACGGTTGTCCCATGAAAGTGAAGATCTCTGTCCCTCATCATGAATATGATGGAACAAAGTCCCATTAGTAATGAATTCATATACTAACATTGGAACTTCAGACTCTAAGCAACAACCTAAAAATTTCACTACATTTCTATGGTTAATTTGGGAAAGAATAACCACCTCATTGATGAATTGTTCAACTTGGCTTTCATCAACTATTTTGGACTTCTTAATGGCAACTATCTTATTATTAGGAAAAATTCCTTTATATACTGTACCATAGCCACCACGACCTAGGATCCGATTCTCATCATAATTATTAGTTGCCCTTTTGAGCTCTTCTTCCGTAAATATCTTTGCAATGTCCACACTTACATCATATGAAGAAAGTTGTTGTCTCAGTAGGAGCCCTCCATTTTGTTGAAAGTATTTTTCCTTGCATATGTTCTTCCTTCTATTTTTTATTCTCCAATATAGCAAAGAGCWGACAAATAGTACAAATAAGATGCCAACGGAAACACCTGCATGGAGATGAGGGTGTTAGAAAATGAGCTTAAGTTGTTAGTGCATTTTTCTTTGSGAATTTTTATCTTGTTGTTAGAAATGGGTGGAAATAAATAAGGGGGTGTAAGATCAATTTGACCGTATTAGCCAAAAAATAAATAAATAAAAAAGAAAAGTTTGACCGCAATTGTTGATTTCCATTGATCTTATTATCCTTCTCATATCTTTCATTAGAGGTGCATGGTGGTATCCATTAATCCAGATTCTATAGGTGATATCCAAATTCAATTTGTATTTAATTGGATTGAACATGGATCTATGCTATTTATCTCATATAATATGGTCCATTTGATTTAAATCCATCAGCTTATTTATACTTAAAATTTCTATTATTCTATCTATTATTAAAATTGGTTTGACAGTACTTATGTCTTTATGGGAGAGTCAACATTGGTTCATGYTTTATAAACTTTATCTTTCAATACATCCTTTAGGTAAAAATAAAGTTTGTAAAACATAAAAYAGAGTTTAAGATCAAAGAAGCCACAAAAAGCCACTGAAAAAATTGATCAACTCGGTTGATGTTCATTCTTAATGATATAGCAAAGCAGGAACCAGCCCCAACCGAACCAAAAAGATAGACCACCAAACTCCAAAAAGGATGCCATTACCTCTCTACTCATATACCAACTAGTTCTATAGAACTTCATCCAAGGATATATGGTTGAATTGTTTACTTGTCACATAGACARAAAAAGGTTTTGCTTTTGGGTCATTTTTTAAATATGAGTTTTATATTATTAAAAATATTGGATATAGATCTAATTAGCAGGGTTTATTTATTAGAAAAAATACTTTAATTCAATAGAGAAAGAAYGAGATTTAATATCTCATATGGCAAGCTTAAAATGAAACTGTTTTTAAAAGTATTAAAAGAAATGCCCATTGGGTTCTAAGAAAAATYAATGGAATGATGAATATATAGAATCCTAATATTAATTCCAAYAGTGATATAGTTATGTATAACATGTTAAATCTTCCATCTTTGTCATATCGTAGTGTTTTTATATTACTAGAGAATGACCCCATACTAAATACGGGGTAACTAAATGTGTGTATAATTTAGTTTGAAGTTTACTATTTAGTTAAGAAAAGTTAAATTAAAAAAAAAACTAATATGGTCTTGTATCTTTGCAATTGACAATCTATTTTGACCTATTTTATTTGAAAACCATTATTAATTTATGTTTTTTTTTTAATTTCATTTAAGATATTAAATGTGATCTTATTCGTAAACAATAACCCACTTTATTTGGGTTATTTACTTTTAAAAGTTAAATTAGGTTGCTTCCTAAAAGTTAATCCAAGTTTGTAACTAATAAAGTATTTTCTTTTTGAAAAAAAAATCATTTAAAAAATGTGGGTTTATGATAATATTTTAATGGGTCTCACCATTTGTACTTAATAGACTATGGATAAACATGTGTTAAGCTAATAAATAATTGTCTATTGGGAATGCTTAGGAGTGAAACTACCCACTTTTTAAATCCTATTTTTCACTTAATAGGATACTATGTGTCTRAATGGAGGTAGTGGGCTGTGGGTTTTAGCGGCAGCTTCTCAGAAAATTTCATGTGTCTAGTTTTCCAGAAAAATGAGAAGGCTACATGTCTAAATGGTGGGGGGTTGTAGCCTAGTAGTGGGCTGTGGGCTTTAGCAAGAATTTCTTAGAAATTGCCACGTGTTTAGCTTCCCAAGAAATAAGAAGGCCACTTGCTTGAATGGTGGGTGGTTGTAGCCTAAAGACCTTGCTTTAATGTATATATATATATATATATATATATGCATTGGGGGTTTTATGAATGACAAGAAGGGGACTTTTGGATTTTGTTTTTATAGTAGATTTTTCAACTTTGCTGTTATTATAATTGGTAAAGTGAATTTGGTTAAATAAAGAGCCAATTGAGGTAGAGCTTATAACAAATTTTAAAACTTTGTCATTTACTTATCAGAGAGGATGACAATAAATAATAGTTGTTCCATTACAAAAGTGATGGTGGAGGCATTGAATGGCAATGAGCTATCAATATCTTGGTGTTAGATCGTTACATAGATTAAACTAAGAAACTTGCAAAATAGTTTTCTTTTGTCACTTTTGTTCACTGACATTTCACTAAACTTGCTCATATTATACCTTAGAATGTTAGACTTTTGAATGAATGTTGTATATGAAAGAGTCCCTTACTTGTAGGGTTATATATGAATTGGATTCAGATTAGATTGACCAAAATCCGAATTTGATATGATTATTGAAAACTTGCAATTGAATGCGATCTGACTATTGAAAAGTTGCATTCAAATCTAATTCAAAATATAATTGGATTTGGTTTGAATCAAACTCCGCATTCATTTATAAAATAGAAAATAAAAACTTAATTACTTTTCAAATTTTATATATAATAAATTAATATAAATATAACATATTGACTTTATTATATATAAATTCATATATAGTAKAATTTATAAATTTTTTATAAATTTTATATGTTAAAACCAATAAATAATTACAATCTAATCAAATTCAAATTTTAATTCGGGATYAGATGGTGTCAAAAGTAGAACTATTAATCTCCACCAAACAGGAAAATAATTTCATATTTGATTACATTTATATTATGCATTTCATTTTCATCATTAATAAAGAATTCTTTTTATTACACTTATTGTTTTAATTTGATTAATAAAAAATCATAAATGTGTCCAATTTTTCTACATTTTTTATAATTTTTTATATTTATTTTTATTTAAAATAATTATTATGACTTCATGGATTAACCAATTTGATTGGGATGGTATTGCTTAGTCACCACTTGGATGAAAGTATATTGTTTTGTTTATGTGTAAGTTTTAAAATACAACAGTTTATATTATTAACAAATATTAAAAATAGATCTTATTAATAGCATTCGTTAGTGAAAAAAATGTAACTTAATGAGAGATAATGGGAGTTTATACTTTAATATAAGATTTAATGAGAATGAATTAAATAAAGTGAAAAGTTTTTGTTGAAATTATGTTTTCAACCCTCACAATTAGTATAATGATTATTGCAATTTCATTCATCTTAATTAAAGTTTTGTAAAATACAAATTTACCCCTTAGATATATCAAGTTGAATGGGAAAATTTTATCCAATAAAAATTTCAGAAAATTACACCCCAATGCATCAACGTCACTATCTAGATCCCTCCTCTTGCACCCCAAACCATATCATGTATCACCTTGGCTCTTTTGACTGACTTATTCCTATTTTATTGCTGGAAAAATTTTCTTGGCATTCTCCTCCCCTCCTAGAAAGAACTATCCCTAGATTTTACCATTTGAACGACATCCTCAATCTCAACACTACATTTCAATGTAATCAAAGGTGGATAGGCCCCCTTGAATTTCTTGTTCTTCTTGCAATCTAACTAAAGTCTCAGCACCTTGATCATAACCATCTCCCAAGTCCTAACTCAACAACTGACTTTGTACACTTTCTATTTTCTATGTTCTAATCAATGTTTCATTCTCACCTTGGCCTAAACCTTTTCTAAGCAAGTCTCTAGGTTATGGTTCAGCGTAATCAAAGGTGGATAGCCCCGCTTGAATTTCTTTCCGTATTACAATCTGCCTAAAGTCTCAGCACCTTGATCATTATCATTTTCTAATTCAACCACCGAATTTGGATAGTTTTTATTTTCTAATTAAGTTCTAATCGATTTTTCATTCTGCCTATAGTAAGGAGACCTATTCTTTTATCACGACTGGATTGCTTGCCTTTAGTCTAAGCTTCTTCTAAGCAAGTATCTAGGCTGAAAGTAATATATATATATATATATATATATATGAAAATTGGTCCTGCCATGTCAGCAGCCCTCTCCTTGCTTCAAAAATTTTTTATTTTTTTAATTCTACATAATTCCCATTAAACCAATAAGTAAATCACATATGCTTAACTACATCTAACAACCATAAAGAAAGATAGATTTGCTTTTYGAATATTTAGCCAAGTGGCACCACTTTCCCCCACTTCCTCCTATATTGTCTCTAATTCCTATTTATCTCCTAAATTATCTCTAACTCTTATTTATCTCTTAAATTATCTCTAATCTAGTACAAAGATTCCCTTCTAAACTATTTCTGATTCCTATCTGTGCTCTCCCCCACTTTTTATCTATATCTATCTAAAGAAAGTTTCAATTAAAAAAAAAATTCAAAGCTATTTAAATGTTATAACAAAATTATATACTAAATTTAAAATATTTATTCAAAACACAAAAAAATAGATTKAATGATATTCATACTATTAATAATTCAATATTTTTACAAAATTCATCATGAAATTATGTAGTAACAATATAAACTATAATTTTGTGAATTATTCAATTTAAATGTTATTCAAATGATACAAATTTAACATTAAAAATTAAACATTATTTAAATATTTCAATACCTAAAAATCTTAAACAAAAAACATTAAAAATAGCTAAATAATAACACAAAATATTTAATACTACACAATAATATTAAAATAATGAAAATTTTTAAATATTTTACATATTACTTAAATATTTAAACAACAAAATATTTAACATGACAAAATTTAACTAGTTAAAATAACGAAATTATGAAATAAATTTAAAAGAAATCTTAAAAGTAGAAAAATAATTATAATATAATTCATAATATTCATATTAATAATAATTTAATATTTTAAAAATTAATAACGAATTATGTAATAATAGTATAATTATAATTTTATGGATTATTGAATTAGATAAATAATTAATATTTTAAGAATTTAAATAACAATATTATTTCAATAACTAAATAATATTGTAAATAACTAATTTCACTTATATCAATTAATAATTATAGAAAATAACTATCAACAAAATTATATTTATTAGTAATCATTTTACAATAATAGTGTATATTCATTATATATTTATATACTATAATTAATATTTTTTTA